TCTGCTATCTGATTACACGAGCATACTCCTTCCAGTGATATTGTTTCTGGTAATTTATTTTGCTGAGAATTCACGTTAGCTCAGTTGGAGCTACACTGGCACTACTGCTATCGGCTCATTTTTTTAGTTTTAGGCATCTGAACCTTGTTTTATTTTAGAACTGCTAGTGTAGATAGGAATTGTACCTGCCACTTCCGTCACTTCTGCCATGACCGACAAAGACAGAAATACGAGTCATGTTCGTGATAACTACGTACGGTTATGAATTAAATTCTTTTAAGGCCTACTTAGAAACATTTAATTATTTACATTAATTTAAACCAGAAAAAGACAAAAAGCAATATTTAATAATGGATATTATTAAAACATTTTATAAATTATATGAATAAAAAAATAGAAAAATTCGCTTTTATGAAGTTTGAGATAGGTTAGATTAAAAAATGATTGGGTGATTTTATCGCCTTCCAGTGCGATCTAGATGGATCTATTGTGGCTCATGTCTAACTAATAGATCACCGTACAAGCCACAAGCCACACACCTTTTGATGAAGGCCATGAGATATTGTCGGTAATTCTGAATAGTAAGTAAATGTTGTGGTGAGAATTCTATATTTTATTTTTAGAAAATATAAAATTTCTTGTGGTTTTTCAATAGATAAAAAAATAATACTTCCAGATTATTTATATATTTCACAACAAAACAAAGGATAACAATTTACATTATAAAACTGGAGACGCATTTAAAAGATACACAAAATACAATTTTACTTTAAAGTCAGATACCTAAATGGTCCTGAAAAAAAAAACTAATTACCTACCAGGAAAGCTAGTTTTACTAAAATGATGACAAACATTTTAAAAAAAGTTTTAAAAACAGTAATATACGACACTGACTTTTAAAATGTTTGTTACTTTAATAAAAATTTCTGAAACTATTATAGAAAAATTTAATAAAAAAAATATATTCAACTCATTCAACCCTATACAATAATGTATGCCCAGGCATCTCAATATCTTTTGTTTTTGTTTTTCTTTAGACTTCTTTCGTTTTGCGAAGCTTGGTATTTATGGTCTTCCCACTCTCTTTTTTCAAAAAATATGTGTCGAACTTTTTCTCTGCATAAAGAAGCTGATTTTCTAAAACTTTATTTTGTTCCCGTAAATCACAAATTACTGTCTTGTCATTTACCAGGACATCCTCCAAGTCCTTGATAGTGTCTAGAAAGGATTAGTTTAATTTACTTAATGTACACTCCGGTCCTGGTTTGTCTGAAGCTACTGCAGACTGCATTACTGCAGCGCAACTTGAAACTAAAGACAATAAAGCTGTGGATATTTACTAGGTGCGCTTTCACAAAAATAGGAAACACGTATTTTTTTGTAAATCACTGGTATTTTTACAGAGACCAAATAAATTGCATTATTCTATTTTTCAGTTTTGTGACACACTACAGAAATAATATAAGAAAACATCTGTTTCCTAAAAGTCCACTGAATTAATTATAAAAAGTAAATTTATGTTTTTGGTTTTCTGATTAAAACAAAAATAAAAAACTACTGTCCACAATAATTCAAGGGCCCCTAAGAATGAAGATAAATTACTAAATAAGGCTTGCATATCAGCCCTATTCTGTCCACTTTTTGATAAGGTTGAGGGTTAGCGCTTTCTTATAGTAAGTCATCTCTAACAAATTATGCTGTACCTACGTCATTTGTTTTATTCTATTTTATCTTGCTTTGATACAAGCGTTCACTTTTTGAAAATAAGTCACTTTATAACGTTGGAGAGAAAACATGGCCCAGCGAAAATGGTGGAAAATGTGAATTTTGTGAAAAACAACGAAAACTTGAAAATAAACCAAAAACCAGCCATAAAAAAATAAGTAACGCGTATGTCTTCTTATGCACTTTAAAACGTTGGAGAGACAGAAAAGGCCCACCGAAATTGGTGTAGGGTTTATTAAAGTACAACTTGTAATGCCTATAGCTACAAGCGCGCCAGTAAATTGATTGTAGAATGACAAATAATAATGTTTTATGTTATAATTCTTATAATCGAATTAAATTACGGGTTTTGAGCTTACATTAAATTATAATTAGATGAAACAAAATGGATTCTATGTATTTTGAGGTGATCTTTTCGAAAAAAGGCAAAACAAAATGTAGCAGTTTTTCGAAAGTGCCGAAATTTTGGATTTTGTCAATTTTTCAATTTTGCGCAGGCGCATGTCGGAAATAAATCAATATTTTTAAAACGCAGTTTACGACATTTGAAAGCTTAGGAAAAATGCTAATTTTTATGTCTCTTGAGAAATTTTAATCTGATGCACCGTTCTCGCGGTATGGACGATTGAAATTTGTTTAGTATTTTGAGGCGACGAAGGTCGAAAAATTGAATTTGTTAAATGTTCAAACACTAAATTCTTCATAGCATTGGTAAAAATTAAGATATTTGAAAAAACAAAAATGCGTTTTAAACCTAAGGGATGTGACTAGTGATTTCCAGAAGGGGGCAAGAGAAATCCCAAAATTGGGCATATGGCGGAAGGGCAAAGTGTACCGCGGTCCTAATTTCATTGTTTGCCAACGGCCAAACTATTTGAATTTTTTTAATGCCACTTACAAAGCTTACTCTTAAATGTGAAATCTTATGTGTGTGTGAATTTCACCAACATCGGACCATAATTGGCTAAGATATCAAACAATTAAATAAATTTTTTTCCTTAAAAAAAAATATTTTTTTTTCTAATGTTTGAAGTGGCACAAAAATGCAAAAAATGCACCCAATGGCTCAAAACTTTTTTTGAGTACTCTATTGTGTCTAGAATATGATTACATTACGGAAAATTCTGCAAATATATTTTATCTATTTTTTTGACCACTGTTCATTGAGTGACGACCAAAAAACACGGTTTTTGAGAAAAGTTGCCTAAAATTAACAATTTTTAGTTTTTTGGTCTGAAAATTAAGCAAACCCAAATTTCATGCCTTCTAAATGTGTATACAAAGTTTAAAGTGTGTATGTTTCTTCTAAGTTGTAGAATTCTCCCGACAAAAGTCCCATTACACGCTCTCCGCGGGATCCAAAACTCGTGTATACACTATATTAATGTAATTTGATTTTTTTGCGATTTCCAGTTTTTAATTTCTTACATATTTAAATTTATTAGGTTTAAAATTTATTAAATTGTATTTTACTGACTTGTTATAAGACGTTTCTCGAGTTTTGTGCAAAATATAGAATTAACGCCAAATTAGCCGCACGTCGCATCAAGGATAGTAATGGTCTCGGCGTTCGCTATCTGACAAGTTTAAACTTCAAACGGTCATATTTTTACAAATTGAATCGCTTGATAGTGTTCATCGGCATAGATTTTTAATAACCGTGTTTAGCAAGCTCTGTGTACACGTAGCTTTTCGAACTTCTTCAGCAATTTATTGAGTAAGTACGTTCCTAAATTAAGAAAATTCTATCACAGTGCTATAATTTTTTTTTTCCAGGTTGCAATGGCTGGCCTGTGTTTATTATGTCATCAGACACTTGCAGAGGGTGAACTATTGCAGATTTGCAATGCGACCTATGACATTCGAAATATAACCGAAAACTACGCATTTTTTGTGCTTAGAAAATTGCTCGTAAAACGAGTGGTTTTTTCTTGAATCCAACATTTTCCCTTTTTTTTTTGAGAAAAAACAAGCACACTGTCGATTTTTTTCGTAATTTGGACACTTTACAGACTGAAAATATATTAGAATCAGTAAGTTTAATGAGAAACAAGCTTACTTTCTCTCCCAATTGCCAGAAAATTCGAGTAGCTTCAATTCTCGCGAGAATTACCGATCTTTGCACACGTGCGCTCAGAAAACAGTGGATGCTAGAAAAAATGTATATGCCACAGTTTTTCGTGTCTTTCAGATAATTAGTTTTCGAGTTAATTAAGCAAAAAATACGAGAAATTAAGAAAAAATTGTTTTGAAATTTTTTTCAAAAAGTTCGGAACGTAACTAGAAAATACGTATTTTTGTCATGCATATATATCTTCTCCCATTTTAAGTTTTCTTGTAAATAACTAAAAACCAGATATTAGAGAACAAATAGCAAGCTTATCACCAAGTTGGAACTTACACTCAGGCTTAGGATTAATTTCCTAACATTTTTAAAGTATACCTTCTAATGTGTATTTTTTTGTGCTCTTTTCGATGGCGAAGTTAGTTTTTTCAAATATATTTTTTTTGTTAGATATTTTCGAAAAACCCGGAAAAAATCATATGGGAAAAAAATTAAAAAAAAACTACGCCTTCCGGTTTCCTGCGAATTCCCGAAAAATTATGGCAGATTTCGCCGCGGGACTTATTTTATTTGAGAGCCAACAAAAAAATACGCAACTTCTCTCATGGGCACATATGTCTAACATTTATAATTTCGCCACAAATTCATCGCAAATTTCATGTCCATGGTTCTGATCAAAAAAACGAAAAAACGACTTTTTGGTAAAAGCCCTTCTGGCGGCGAAAAATTCGCCATTAAAGCTACCTGTGCAATGAATTTCCGAACTATTTTTGCCTCCTCTTTCGAATGATGCATTTATTTTCACTATCGGAATGATACTTGCCCAGATAATTAGCATTTTTACAATGGAAAATTCCGGAAAACCCGGTTTTTCCTAATTTAAAAAAAATTGAAAAACTGCTACATCGTTTTTTTCTTTTTTTCGGAAAGATCACATCAAAATACACAAGGTCCTTTTTGTTTCATCCAATTACAAATTAATGTAAGCTCGAAGGGGCTTTTTTTCGTTATTTAATTGGACTATTAGTATAGTGTTAGTTTTAAATTTTGTGTTAAAAAGACAATCAGGCAATATGGTAATTTGTGCAGCTTGTGGATATACCGTGATAAAATGGTAACAGGGCAACAGCCAGTGCGTGAGTGTACGACTAGAATTGAAGTGCTCGGGATAATAAGGATGTAAGCCAAATTTTTTATTTTTTGAGTTGATATGACCTTTTATGTTGCACTAAAGGTATAAGCCACCGCAGAAATAATTTGCGATAACAACCAATAGATGGCGCCATAACAGCAAAATATTCTTGCATAAAAATAAATCACGGCGATAATTTCAGTTATAAGGTTACAAGCCACAGTATTTTCAACATGGCGGCTTACAGGATGGAAGCTCTGGCAGTAATAGTGTTATTTTTGATGAAGATAGTGATTTAAGCGATGAGAATTTTGAATCAGATGATAGCTTGCAGGACAGAGACTATGCTGTATCTGATGGTGATACGGGAAATAGCTCAGATTCTGAGATATTGGTAAGTAAACAAAAATATGGCTCATACCCTTTTTACTGCAAAATAGTTTATCTTCTGTTTCTACTAGTTTAAAAAGAAAAAATTGTTTTTAGAAATTTGATTACACAGCAGATTTTGAATAAAATATTGATTTTCAGCTAAATTAACATAATACCTACATTTTTTTTGAGCTTAAATACAAACATAACCCAAATACTAAAACTTGTTGTGGCTTATACCTTTTTTATTGAAATAAAATATATACTTTTTTCAGGTGAGAAATTTTCTGCCAGTTCAGCGAGCTGCAATACCCAGTCCTGAAAAATCGAATTCCAAGTCACGTTGGAGAAATGTAAAAGTAGAATCGAGAAAAAATATTAAAAGAAAGCGAAAAAGAGACCTAGGTCTATCATACATCAACAAAAAAGGAAACGAAATAGAAAACAGAAAACTGGGATCACCATGTGGATGCAAGAAAAACTGCCGACAAAAGTTACAAGGAAAAGAAGAAATATTCCACTCGTTTTGGAATATGGGTAACTATGACCTTCAAAATGCGTATCTTTTTTCTTCTATGAAGTCAACCCATCCCAAAAAAAGATACAGAAAAAAAAACTAAAAAAGAAGTATCTGGCAGAAAGTGTACAATTTTGTACCACATCAAAGTTAATGGTGAAGATATAACTGTTTGCAAAGCAGAATTTTTGGCAGTACATGGGTTACAAAAATCGCAAAAACGAATCCAGTTGCTGTGTCATAAAATTACAATGGGTTCTGTTACCCCTCAAAGAGACCAACGAGGAAAGCATCTAAACAGACCGATCAAGATCCCAGATGAAACTATCCAGACAGTAAGGGATCACATTAACTTGCTACCAAAATATACCAGCCACTATAGCCGACAAGATAATCCAACAAGGGTCTATTTGGATTATGATCTGCTTCCGAAGACAAGGACAGAAGAATATTTTGTACTGAATTTAATATTGGGTTTAAATTACCCAGAAGTGATACATGCAAAGATTGCAATTCTTTGCATATTCAAATTGATGGAAACAGATAATGAAACTGAGCAAGCAAAATTTAAGCTTGAACTTGAGTTACATTAAAGAAGGGCCAGTGCTATGCAAAACAGCTTGAAAGTTGTTCAACAGGCGGGATATGCAGATGTCCTTACGTTTGACCTCCAACAGGCACTACTCACTCCAAATTTAACTGTCGGTCCAGCTTTTTATCTCCGTAAACTATGGACATATAATTTTGGGATACACGATTGTGTAAAGGGTATATATGTATATGTGGAGCGAAAACATAGCAAAAAGAGGAAGTGATGAGATATGTAGCATGCTTCTAAGATAATTCAAGAACCACCGACCAACCTCGGAAGAACAGCGATAACTGCGGAGGCCAGAACAAAAATTGGTTGGTAATGGCTTTCTGGCTAAATCTCGTGCGATCAAAAGTGTACAAAAAAACTGAACATCGCTTTATGATAGCTGGTCATACTCATTTGCCGTCAGATCGAGACTTTGCAATCATAGAGAAGTACAAAAAAAAGTTTTTGTGCCTGAACAATGGTATGATGCAGTAATAAAGCAAAACGAACAAACCCTTTTGAAGGGTATATGAAATGAGAGAAAATTATTTTTTTTCGTTTAGGAGCCTTCTCAACAACATTTCAAAAAAATACATATGCGACAACAAGCAATTAATGAAATTTTCTAGTGTAAGATGTTTTCGTTTTGATAGTGAATTTCCAAATACTATGTTTGTAAAACATCTGTTCAATGAAAAATCCCGTGCATTTATAGTCTATTTTTATGTATGAGAGAGTAATAAAACAGCATTTCTAATGCAAAACTTAGTACGGTCATTTTAAATATATTTACAGAATAATCTAAATATTTCCCAAAATTGTAATAAATGTACCTGAGCTATTACAAGTTTTGGGTCTTTTATTGGTCCTTTATAAACATAAGCTGTACAGAACAATAGAAAAAGGTTTGGACAGGCCAAAAGCCCTGTGTATTAAAGATTATATAGCCGTATCTTAAGATTATTTTCAATAAGTACCTATTTGCCAATTTTGTTTTATTTTAATTCCAAAAATTTCTTACAGTAATCGAATTATAAGAAGATAAATACCTTCCCAATAAATTTCACCGAAAATGCGATTATAGGTTTTCCATTTAGTAAAGAGGTCCAAGTTGTGTATTCTTGACAGTTTACTAAATGTCGTTTAGTTGCAACTTGCAAGGTGCAGTGTGAATTCTAGTGTGATCATGAAAAATTTGGAAAGGCCGCGTAAACGACAAAAAATCGGTCCTTTAACAGTTAATGAAAAAACATTAATATTTAATTGTTTTAAATCATTTACAGACAAACATTTATGTAAAAGTGTTGATGACACAGTGGAAATATTAGTACGCTTGGTGTTGGGAAATCTACGATTTACAGAGTTGTTAAAGAAGAGAAATGTGGCGAGTTTCAAACAGCACGTAAAGCTCCAGGAAAACCAAAATTTCAATTAGAAAATCTTTTGAAAGAAACACTTCGAAGGAAAGTGCATGCATTCTTCTTTAGAAAAGAATTTCCGACAGTAGACAAAGTTCTTGTCATGGTTCGAGATGATAAGGATTACCCTGAAATGAGTCGAAGCACACTATGGAAAATTTTAAAAGAAATAGGTTTTCTATGGAAAAAGTATTCCAGAAAGTCTATTTTAATAGAAAGAAGCGATATTGTAGTATGGAGAAGAAATTACCTAAGGACTATAGAAGAAATGAGAAACCAAAGAAGAAATATATTTTATTTAAATGAAACATGGATCAACGAGGGACATAAACCAAATAAATTTTGGCAAGATGAAACTGTTACAAGTCGAAGACAGGCTTTTTTTAAATAATTTATCTAATGGTTTAAATCCACCATCAGGAAAGGGGCGCAGACTAATAATAGTACACATCGGTAGTTCAAACGGTTTTGTTAAAGGTGGTTTATTGACTTTTGAATCTACTCGTACCGGTGACTACCATGAGGACATGAATGCTGATGTATTTAAAGAGTGGTTCGAACAAATTATAGATCTTCTTCCTCAGAACTGTATAATACTAATGGATAATGCAAGTTATCACTCGAGACTTATATAAAAAATGCCCACAACCAAGTGGTTAAAAAAATATTTACCGAATTGGCTAAATTCAAAGAATATTAAGTTCCATCCCGGTTCTGTGAGAGAAAAAAAACTGTATCATTTGTGTTCCCTTCATAAAGAGAAATTCAAAAAATATGAAATTGATGAAATTGCAAAAAATCGTGGGATGACGGTGGTTAGATCACCACCATATCATTGCGAAGTAAACCCGATTGAACTGATATGGGCACAGATAAAGGAAGAAGTTTCAAGAAAAAATAATTCTTTCAAAATGAGTAATGTTGTTTTTGGAGGCTGTAAATATTGTGAAGCCTGAAAACTGGGAAAATGCAGTAAATCATACGATTAAAGAAGAAGAGAATGTGGAAGTTGGACAATATTACTGATGAAATGATCGAGCCACTCATTGTAAATATTGGTTGCGACAGTTCATCTTCTGATTTCGATTCTGATTTGGATTTGTAGGTAAGAAGTAGTTTTTATATTAAAATTATTATTTATGAACGTAACGTTGTTTAAAAGTCAAAGTTTAAACCATTATACCTACATAACCCGTTTGACACAATGTTCTTAACATACCTTGTGGAAAAATAAAACATTTTAGAAAAAATTGCACTTTTTTACCTTCAGCTGTTTAGAAGTTATAAGCAGGTTAATTAGGGGAAAATATAAGTGTATACTTGAGGAATAACTTCAAAAAATATTTTAACTGTCTACTAAAAGAAGTGGTACGCCTATGGATTACGATTACGCTTTATAATTTTAATACTCTCTCATACATAAAAATAGACTATAATATAGGTAAAAGGGGGCAAAAGTTATTCCAAAACATTATGCAATTGCAACTAGAACCTAAATATGAGGAATCCATACAGATAAATGGTAAAAAACTGTCCAATTTAGAGCAACTATTGCCTTATATACCTCCTGTATATCAAATTTTTTATAAAAATCTTAAAGGATTTAAAATAATGGATTTGGCGGATAATGCTGATGATAATAATATGTTAGAACATCTGGATGTTGATGACAATGAGATAGATTAGTTACCTACACTACTGTCTTTTTTATATATCAAGCATTTTGTATTTATTTCTACCGAAAATAAATATTTCTTTAATAAGAGTATCTGGGGGTGGGTGGCTCAGTGGTACAGTCTCTGCCTGTGGATCCAAGGGTCCCAGGTTCGAATCCCACCGTTAGCCGGGATGTTTTTATTTAATTCAATTATTTAAAATTAATTCCCATGCCTTGGTAGGATTCCCCTCTCGACCATTCACTGTTGGGTTCTAATTAACAGTGATGTTCCTAAAGTGGCGCTGGGAAACAGTAACAAAGCCTACACAGAACACGAGGCGAAATAACCTTAGCAGTTAAAGCCGATGACACACACAAAAAAAATAAGAGTATCTGTTTTTTTTTGTAGTAAATATTGTATATATTTTTGTTAGAACAATGATATATGTCACAGGCTCAGTTACGACTTTTAGTGGAATAAGGTTACAAGCCACATGTTTTTCACTAAAAATCAAAATATTCTTCTCAATTTTTTTTTTATATTAGTTTGTTTTAAATATAACATTTGCATTATAGAGCTATAAACAGAAAGTTCTTAGAATCCTACAAAATTCAGAGATATTTAAACTTTCACCTAAATATTTAAAACTTAATTTTCCATGAATCAACAATTTGTGGCTTACATCCTTATTATCCCGAGCCCTTCAATTAGACGATGTGGTGGTGTGATATTAGCCGAACCGATTATGAAGCACAAAGCTAGAGAGCATAGCGATAGCGGGGATATCGTAGTTGTCACATATTCGCTGTAAAAGCATGGATGGCTATGCCTAATATAAAATAATAAGTACTGTAGCAGCACAGCTAAAAGTGAAACGAAGGAACTATGTACATTTTCAACTACATTAGGGATTTATTAAATTTTCATAATTTTAGATTTTTAAACAACCATCGCAATTACTTTTGCATATGTGCTTATAATAAGCGTAGCTTCATATTTATGGTAAATAGGGTATAAATACTTCTATTTAAACAATATTTTTATGCAGCATTAGAATATTTATGTGGTTGTTAAAATAAACTACTGTTCGGTTTAGATCAACAACTTTAAAATTTTCCATAGATTCTTAAAAATGAAACTTATGGATTGAGTTCTCGAAGTGAAGTACCTAGGTCTCACCTTTGACAGCAAGTTAACATGGAACTCGCATTTAGAAAACAGAGTGTCTGGATATCGAAAACCCAAAAATGACCAGCTATCCGTAAACTAGAACAAATTCAAAGAACAGCATGTATCAACATAACAGGAACCATGAAAACAACACCGACTACTCGTAGAGCCATGGAAGTAATTCTTAGTCTCACTCCCCTTGATATTTACATCAAGGAGGTTGCTCTGAAGACAATGACACGCGTCCGCACGGTCGGAATAGAACTTGATGAAGGATCTGGTGAGGCAAGCCGTCACTTTTGGCAGGAGGCGCTGGATATACGCTCCCACTACTTCAAGCGAACATGGATTCCACCTCACCGAAATATATCTTTCATACGCCATATAAAGTTATTATAGAACAAATAGAAGAGCCGGAAGTCGCAGGTACGATTCATATCTACACCAACGGTTCTAAAACAAAACAAGGCTCAGGATGTGGAATATACTCTAGATTCTTAAAACCAAACATAAAATGGGCTGTGAGCAATAGTGCAAGCGTAGTTCAAACAGAGCTAACAGGGATTCTCATAGCAGCAAAAGAAAGAACCAGAAACAATATCACTGAAAGGAACATGTTCATTTATACAGATAGCAGACAAACACTACTCACCCTGAACAGACAACGAATTTAATCAGGGTTAGTACTACAATGTCACGAAGCTTTGGCCGAAGTATCCATCAACAATGTGGTCACCTTAAGATGGATTAAAGGTAACGCCACATCG